GGGTCCTTTGCTCTAAGGTTTCACCCTCGTATACGACCAGTTTTCATGCCTTTATGACGAGACACATTTTGATTGGTTGATAACGAGCAAAGGAGAGTTGTGACTGGTGGGTAACAAGTAGGGGGGGAGGGTTGAGGGGGAGGCGTGTTGGCCAACAGGGCGAGTGACTAGGACCCGTGATAGGTTATGTCTTACAGCAAAGGACGCTTGCAGGGGCCCCGTCATCGAGGGGCCCCTGCGGTGAAGGGGCTACAAAACTCTGTGAAAGACTTGCTGGTGTTTTTAGATTCAATGTAATGAGTACTTTTTTGTCTAACAATATTTCGTCATTCTTATAACTGCATATATATTTATACAAGATATACTTGCTAAAAGATCATTTACAACTACAACACAAAGAAAAAAACGAGTCGAGAAAACAGTTTGGCTCTGCTGGACAAGAATAACAAAAGTCAATCACAGTCCTTGTGTTAGTGGTTCATAAAGCCGTCCTCACGACCGCTAATACTGCAATTCACACTCTTAATGAGTATATCCTATAGACTTAGGCGTCGTGTGCATAACTTTAGGTTAATGGATAAAAAGTGAAGTAATGTGCCCATAGTACAATAGTTTGTACATTTTTATACATTTGCTACACTATATGTACAGTAACACTCACTTTGGCACTATACCAGCACTATGCTGCCTCCTCTTCTGTGTATGTGTGTATATATATATAATATATATATATATATAATATAATATAATATATATAATATATATACATAAACACATACACCGGAAACAGCAGCGCTACGGAGGAACAATTAAGTCCCTTTAACAATTTCTTACCCTTATATAAGTGTAGTTAAGGAATTGAATAAATTAAGAACCGAGGTTATTTTGTCATGATACAGTAACCTAATCTGCTGCTCCAGAGTCCACGAGGCTGGCTGGGGTGGGACGGGAGGCTGGGGTGGGACGGGAGGCTGGGGTGGGACGGGAGGCTGGGGTGGGACGGAAGGCTGGGGTGGGACGGGAGGCTGGGGTGGGACGGAAGGCTGGGGAGGAACAGATCAAAGTGGAGTAAAAGGCTGGTCAGAAATCGAAGGCAGCTAACACGGCAATTGAAGCATGACAGAGGATTCTTCGGGCATTCACCAAGCGAACCTTCGCCAGACGTCGCACGCCGCTATTACGACAGCGAGCATACATGTACACAACCGTCGTGGACTCGGGAGCGAAGCAGGTTTCGCGACTGCCGCGTCGACTCGGTCGAGTCACCCCGTGTCCACAAGAATCACCACTTATGAGGACAATGTGACACATAACAGTATGTGTTTCGCTCACAGCTCTCGGCACAGAGGAAAATCGACGATTTAAATCATAAACAAGTTAATAACGGTATATCTTGACCGTCTAAAACGCATGGTTTCCTGCACATTTCCTCGTCAAGTCGTCTCTTTGTCTAGTATAGAACACTTAGGACTCGTGTCGGCTGCCCGGCACGACCACCAAGTGTGGCTGATCAACCTGGCACGACCAGCAGGTGTCAGCCAGGCACGACCAGCAGGTCGTGGCCAGCAGAGACCTCTATCAGGCCAGTTTCTGTTGGCCAGGCACGACCAACAGAAACCTCTATCTCTGTACTCTATCGGTACGAAGGGTCGGCCACACTGAACACAACCTCGCGTCTGCTCGCCCAGACGTAATTCTCCGGACATTTTTTGATTATCATCTGCGTTTGAGCATAAGGTATGACATGAAGTATACCCCCAGCACCAGCGACTGGAGGTGATGAAGTGCAATTTAGTGTCTTTTTTTATTTTTTTTAATTCTTTGCAGTTTGGGTTTAATAGGTACAGAATTCCCCAAATATTAATTATACAAAATCCCTAATATTAGCATATGAAATGTATTTTTAAAGTGAATCTCTTCTAAATATTAAAAGTGAAACTATTTCCTGTCGTCTCAAAAGAGAAGGTAAACGTACATTGAGCCAGCGAGGCGAGAAAGTCAGCACGAGGGGCTAGCGAAGTCTTCCTGAGGGACTAGCGAACTCCTGAGCGCTCTTCACATTGCGCAAGAACATGTTTGGTCTAGAGTCGTATGATCAGCGACTATGCATGCATGAAAACACACACGAGAGCACAGTGCGCATTTGTGTGGCAATGTTATGATTTGTTGCTTGAATTTGTGCGCATCCGCGCGCGTTAGCGTACAGCCAAGGTAGGAAGGTCAGTGCTAACTCCTCCCTCTCCCGCCAGCTGGCGCAGGAAAGCAAGTCAGGGAAGGGGGGGGATATGATACGTGATATTTACAACAGCGACGCGAACGCCGACAGTTAGAATGGGCGTCCCGGACCTGGTCACCAGCGGGACGTGTGAACACTGAAACATCGACCCTGAGCATCTCTATTGCTATAGGAAACTTCACTCCTCGAGCATCCCTGCAACCATTTGCAACGAACGTCTCGGTCGGGAAGGAGCGTCTCCGGTGAAAGGGAACGTCTCAATCGGGAAAGGACCATAGGCGATACTGCTTCGTCTCACACTTATAACATGGTAGAAATATGACAACTGTCAACCCGACAGGTGACAGTGACGCTGGCATAAGGCATTGCGTTACGCCGGGGTGTGGGACCATGGGAGAAGAGAGATCAACATGAGCGTCTACCTCTCCTCCCATGGTCACCGCCGGCGTGTGGTAGAACCCTTCCCCCCCCCCCCCGCAGTAAGACTCCTGTTTCCATGGGACTTTCTTCGTTGTGGGACGTATCTCTTCCGTGTGTGATTTCCATTCCCCACCTGACCCCCTTCCCAGTGAGACCCTTCTCGTAGGGCTTCCCTCGCAGGAGGACTCCCGGCAACTGGAGCCTCAGACAAGGCTAGTCCCACGCTGCTCCTTGAGGCGTTCCAACAGCCTCATTGTCCATAGGAACGATTATTCTAGACGTACATATATATATATATATATATATATATATATATATATATATATATATATATATATATATATATATATATGTACACATTAATATGTACTTCGACCAGAGGTGATATATGCGTGCTCGTGATTGGTAGACGCGTGGGACGTCAGTAAGGCCTAACTCCACTTCCTGTTTAGTTGTATATTAATAATCTAAAGACCTGTTTAATGAGATTTAAGCCTAGCTGAGTAAGTTAAGTAATTTTGTATGTGAGAAAAAATCACACGCTATGAGCCAACGTCTGTGACAGTCATATACCTTCTAATTATAAACATTGTCTCTCTCATTATTTTATATATCAATACTGCATCACAGTGCGGTATTGATATATAAAATAATAGAAAGATTGACCAATATAACAAAAGTCACATAAATTCATGGGTGTTGAGGCCGGAGAGATGTGCACAGTAACACTAGGTGTCTTCCGCCCTCGCAGGGATGTGCTGGATTCCCTCCAGGGATATGGTCTACTATCCTGGCCGGCCTGGGGTGTGACCACACTACCCTGGCCGGCCTGGGGTGTGACCACACTACCTTGGCCGGCCTGGGGTGTGACCACACTACCCTGGCCGGCCTGGGGAGTAACCACACTACCCTGGCCGGCCCGGCGAGTATTCTGACAACGCCAGGAGGGATGATGGGCCGGGGTGGGTATATCTTCGTTGTGTCGACTTCGGTTGTGAGCGACGAGTTGGTCGCCGTAAGGCCGCTCCTGGGCTCCGCGGGTGCTGCGTGTCGGGGCTCCCAGCGTTGGTGAGGAGGTACTGGCTGCTGGTGCTGGCTGCTGGTACTGGCTGCTAGTACTGGCTGCTGGTACTGGCTGCTGGTACTGGCTGCTGGTACTGGCTGCTGGCTGCTGGTGCCTGCTGCTGGCTGCTGGCTGCTGGTACTGGCTGCTGGTACTGGCTGCTAGTACTGGCTGCTGGTGCCTGCTGCTGGCTGCTGGCTGCTGGTACTGGCTGCTGGTACTGGCTGCTAGTACTGGCTGCTGGTACTGGCTGCTGGTACTGGCTGCTGGCTGCTGGTACCGAACAGTTCTCCCCGTTACTTGTGGAACAAGGGGGTTGGGGGGAGGGGATGGGTGGTATTCACAGGTTCTTGGGCCGCACGACACAACTTCGACCTAGATTTTGAGAGGATGTGGTGCTTTGAAAGAGTGTTGTTCGTTGTTCGAGGCACAATTTATGAGGTCTTGTACTGATGGAGAGTGAGGGAGGGGGCGGTGAGGGAGGAGAGAGGGACAAAGATGAAATGGGGGGGAATAGAGGGTAGGGGTGTGGTGGTGCTGGTGTGGAGACTTAACAGACAAGAGGGCAACGATCACTATTTTTTGGTAAATATGGAGTAATTAGTAGGTAGAGTATTGGAGCCCAGGTGGCGATGAAGCCCAGGTGGTGATGAGGCCCAAGTGGTGATGAGTCCCAGGTGGTGAGGAGCAGGTGGTGATGAGGAGCAGGTGGTGATGAGGAGCAGGTGGTGATGAGGCCCAGGTGATGGTGAGGAGCAGGTGGTGATGAGGAGCAGGTGGTGATGAGGCCCAGGAAGTGATGAGGAGCAGGTGGTGATGAGCAGGTGGTGATGAGGCTCAGGTGGTGATGAGGCCCAGGTAGTGATGAGGAGCAGGTGGTGATGAGGAGCAGGTGGTGATGAGGCCCAGGTGGTGATGAGGCCCAGGTAGTGATGAGGAGCAGGTGGTGATGAGGAGCAGGTGGTGATGAGGAGCAGGTGGTGATGAGGCCCAGGTAGTGATGAGGAGCAGGTGGTGATGAGGAGCAGGTGGTGATGAGGAGCAGGTGGTGATGAGGAGCAGGTGGTGATGAGGCCCAGGTGGTGATGAGGCCCAGGTAGTGATGAGGAGCAGGTGGTGATGAGGAGCAGGTGGTGATGAGGAGCAGGTGGTGATGAGGCCCAGGTAGTGATGAGGAGCAGGTGGTGATGAGGAGCAGGTGGTGATGAGGAGCAGGTGGTGATGAGGAGCAGGTGGTGATGAGGAGCAGGTGGTGATGAGGAGCAGGTGGTGATGAGGAGCAGGTGGTGATGAGGAGCAGGTGGTGATGAGGAACAGGTGGTGTAAATAAACAAGGTCTATGTACGGGGTTGAGGACAAGGAAGGACTGGGCATACAATCATCAGGTATGGGGGTAGTGGCAGCCAATGTTTACACCAGCAGTAGGCTGGTGCTTCTGGCAACCTGCAGGTACTAGTGGTATTTGGAATATTGGTAGTGGTGAGGTACTGGCTGCAACTAGCGGTAGTGAGGTACTAAAGCCGCCCTAGTACAACACTAGTGTAGCATTAGGCCAGAACTAGGGCAGCACTGGTCAGCACTAGAGCAACACTAGCTAACACTAGTGCAACACTAGGCTAGTACTAGAGCAACACTAGCTAACACTAGTGCAACACTAGGCTAGTACTAGAGCAACACTAGCTAACACTAGTGCAACACTAGGCTAGTACTAGAGCAACACTAGCTAACACTAGGCCAGCCCTAAGCCAGCACTAGGCCAGCACTAGGGCAACACTAGCTAGCACTAGGCCAGCACTAGGGCAACACTAGCTAGCACTAGGGCAACACTAGCTAACACTAGGCCAGCACTAGGGCAACACTAGGGAAGAGTTCACCAGGTGCGGCCCTGCAGAGGGAAGTAACACATATTGGGGGGGTTGTGGGGCGTGGCGGGCGGTGTGACCATGTGGTGTGTGGGCGGCGTCATCCGGGCGTAGTCGCCGCCGATGGAGGAGACGGGCGGGAGGCAGGCGGCCGAGGGCGGCACCCCGCCCACCACCACCGGCTCCGTCATCATCGGCGAGGAACACCCGCTCAGGCCGCTGATCACGTGTGACCCTGCAACACAGCAAGCAACATGGCCGTTAGTACGTCAGACATTGCAGGCAACACACACACACACACACACACACACACACACACACACACACACACACACACACACACACACACACACACACACACACACACACCTGTTTACCTGTTGATTGACTGTTGAGAGGCGGGACCAAAGAGCCAGAGCTCAACCCCGGCAAGCACAACTAGCTGAGTACAATTAGGTAAATACACACACGTAAAGTCAATATTTTTTATATTATATGTAATAAAATATAAAAGAAAAACTAAAGCTAGCCAATAGCAAATAGTTGCATTGTATAAGTAAAACAAACACACACACACACACACTACATATTTGTTTATCTGGGTATTTGTTTCCCTGCGTATTTGTTTCCCTGCGTATTTGTTTCTCTGCGTATTTGTTTCCCTGCGTATTTGTTTCCCTGCGTATTTGTTTCCCTGCGTATTTGTTTCCCTGCGTATTTGTTTCCCTGCGTATTTGTTTCCCTGCGTATTTGTTTCCCTGCGCATTTGTTTCCCTGCGCATTTGTTTCCCTGCGTATTTGTTTCCCTGCGCATTTGTTTCCCTGCGTATTTGTTTCCCTGCGTATTTGTTTCCCTGCGTATTTGTTTCCCTGCGTATTTGTTTCCCTGCGTATTTGTTTCCCTGCGTATTTGTTTCCCTGCGTATTTGTTTCCCTGCGTATTTGTTTCCCTGCGCATTTGTTTCCCTGCGCATTTGTTTCCCTGCGTATTTGTTTCCCTGCGCATTTGTTTCCCTGCGCATTTGTTTCCCTGCGTATTTGTTTCCCTGCGTATTTGTTTCCCTGCGTATTTGTTTCCCTGCGTATTTGTTTCCCTGCGTATTTGTTTCCCTGCGCCTTTGTTTCCCTGCGCCTTTGTTTCCCTGCGCCTT